TTTTCATCTCTTGAATTTTTTTGTGTTTTTGTCTTTAAACTATAATGTTCGTGGAACGTTTTAATTACAAATATTATGAAATCCGATTTAACAATATGGAAAAAAATTCAATAATTGTCAGGTAATTAAGTCAAGATTGAAAATTGAACAGGATCATGTTACATTACAAATTAATTCAAGAAAAAACAATTAAGAATTTATTAAATTGCCAATATATAATTGCGATTAGAAAAGAAGATTCACTGCATTAACTTGAATATCTCGCATTCTATTCTAAACTCTGACGTTTTTCAATTCAATCGTTTATGTCAACCGAGGCTATACTTATTCAACGATTAGATATATTCTGAATCACAACACTAAGTATAACAAGAAGGAAGGCTAACCAAACTTCATTAGTTTGACCCTCTTTTTTTAACGTTTGATTATTGTCTTTTAATAATAATCAATATTGTAACACAATAGTTACATAATTACCTAACCTAATTGTATAGGGTGTTGAATAATTTTTGGGTAAATGTCCTATGTTCGGCTTAGTCAGCATTGTTTTTCAGCAGTAATAGGGCCATGTTTTTTCGAAAGGATTGTAATAGAACACAAAAAAAATTATTCTAAATGATAGAGATTGAAAATCAAATTAAAATGTATGAATGAAAATCATGTTTATATAAGTAAAGTTTTACTAAAAAATAAATTCTTATGTGCAAGAATGTTAATTTTTATTTTGTTTTAACATTCAGAAATCCGGCATTTTTATGGCCTTGATAAATGCAGACACACTTAATATACATTCGTATTGTATAATTCATGGTTATTTAGCATCTATGATAATTTACACTGTAAAACAATAAAGCCAAGATGTAAATATTGAAAAGAATTTCATTTTTTCTTCTTATACCTTCTGTATACTTACCTACATACGAGTATCTGTTTCACAAAAGCGCTAACAGAAAATATTTTAAAAATAAAAAAAAATTAAAATATTTTAATAAAATCTTTATAAACCATTAAAATAAAGTAAAATCACTAGAACACAGAAGACTAAATCATATTTTTATAATCTTTAACACTGATATTAAATTTTCAGATTCAGAATGTTCTTTTTAGCAAAGACTAGTATTATTCGAATGGATTTAATATTAGATACTCATACAATGTTATTTTATAAATTTTCTTATCTTTCCCATACACAATGTAAATGAAAAATATTTTTAATATTGTTATAACATTCTGGTAGCCTGGTCATAATATCAAAATCAAAAATATTAAATTCTATGCTATGACATCTCCTTTAGGTTTATTCATGATTCTCTACCATGAAGAAATTCATTTTGGTCTGAAAACTCTCCCTTATTGTCAGTGAAAAGAATTTTAGAACATTTGGAATATGTTATGTATGGTAAGCAAAGAGACATTCGTCACATTACTTAAAGTAGCAAATCCTTTCATTTACTGAAAATCTGCATAACCTTACATGTTGAAACAATTTTCGAAACACAATTTATAAGAGTTAATAGAAATTTCAATATTGGTTCGTTAAAAATTTTTTATGTATATTGCCTAATATTGACCAATTTTATATTTGAATGCATCGTTTTCTTATGAACCGTTTACAAAATCTTCCATACTCTTAATGTTCTCATATATACACAGTTTTGTTATATTAATTAGAATAAGGCCATTAAAACTTAAATTCTCCTAAAGTTTATTAAAAATTTGCTTTTCGATTTAGTGTACGTATACGAATTCAAGGTGTAATTTACTGGCATATTTAATTAGTTTTCATAACATCCAAAATACCTATGTATGCTTACATGTTTATTAATCATAAACTAAAGTAAAAATATATAGAAACGCCGCTCATGAAACATCTATAAATAGTTCTTTGCAGATTTATTTTTTTCTACTTTTCTTTTTTGTTATAAATTTTCTTTTTTTGTCATTTAAAAAAAAAAATATTGCTCCAAGTTATTCTACATTTTTATTAAAATATATTTTGCACAATTTTATTATAATAATTTTTTTTCTATATTCTCCTATCTAAATTTTAATTTCTAAAAATAAAAAATAATATTTGTAATATTAAAAATGAAAACTCGGCAATAAAACTATTTTACTTACCATATTCACGTTTATTTACGTTATACCTTGATGCTTGTTTGTGCATAATGTGCATATCTGATGAATGTATGTATTTATAAGTAAATATAATATGTTTAAATAAATTAACATAAAGTATTTCTTCACTTGTTTTATTATGTTGTTCTTGAATTGTGGCATGAAATCACATCTTCAATAATAACAACAACAACAATACAATAGGAGTCTTGAAATTTTTTTCTTTACTGCAGAATAAAAGCTCATCTATAATAATAAACACTTCTTATACTCCAATAGATCGCTTGTTTGTATTCAAACTCAATAGAAATGTACAAGTCGAGTACATAATATAGAATAATAAAAGTTAAAAAATAATCAGAAAACCCGCATTGCTTTCAGACTTTAGGCTTAGACTTTGAAAGTACAATTTTATTTTAATATGCGAGCATGTAAAGTTTGAATATTTTTTTTGTTCCAATATGCTTGTTTTATTTTAATAATAGTTTTTTTTTTTTTAATTTTAGATTGCATATTTTTATTTATGTTTTCTATAATTAGTAACTAATATTTTATGTGGAACGGATTTTAGATATTTAGTTCCGTTATTCTATTCAATAGCGTCATCATTTAAGGATGGGCTTGTAGGAAAATAACTTGCGATTTTAATTTTACAAAAGTAAAATTATTTAATTAAAATAATATGCACATTTAGTTAAAAAAAAATATTTTAATAAGAAAATTGCATTTCTTGTAAAAATTTCAAAATTCGGAGTTTTTTTCTAAATTAAATTTTATTTATGGCTTGGGAAGACATACAACTTTTAGTTTTGCAACTGCTTAATTGTTAAAGTGGCATTCACAATTACGTTTTCACTGTTATAGAAGTTTGGAAAAGCTTGAAATTTAAGGTACCGAAAATTGTAATTCTACAAATGTCGAGATGCGATAACTTGTGAAGGGATGGAAATGGAAAAAAATGATATTTAAACAAAATAAAATATTTATGAAGATTTTGTATTTAAAATTTCGCAGCCATGAAATTTCGGACTTCTATTTAAAATTTAATACAACTGAATGTTATCATTATGGTTACATTATTTTTTGAATACTCAAATACGTGGTAAATGTAATTTTAGTAATTTAGTTGCACAGTACATGAAATGAAAGTAACTAAATTCCGGCTTCTTATCGTTTTTATGAACAATATTAGCGAAAATGTTGGAAAAAATATAAAAACAATATTCACAATTTCCTCACTTAACATTTATGTATAACCAATACATTTAAATTTAAAAGTGTTTTTTGTTTCTTTAAGAGTTTGATCAAAAAACAATATTACATATTGAAAATCGTTTAATTCACAATTCTTTTTTTTTAACAGTTAGACGATCATTTTCGTTTCATTTATTTACCGATCGTTTTCTATATTGTACCCAACCAATAATTCTTTTTGCGGATTTTAAAGAGTGAATGTTAACAATTCTTTTCTATTTTTCTTAAAGCGTTACAAAGATGAACGTCGTTGTACGCGACGATAGTTTTTTTTTTGACAACAATTCGTATATATTATAAATAATTATTGTGTAAATTTTGTTCAATTTGAAATTATTTCAATACAACAATAAAAATTATACACATGTATATACATATGTACACATAAAATACATAATATTATGTACACGTAGTACACGTTAATATGTACGTGAATGTATACTTAAAGGAAAACGTACACAATACAATTATTTAAAACAAAAATGAAGTGAAAAGAATAAAAATAAAATTTCATATTTTAAAAAAAAAATAAAATAAATACAAAATGTATGAATGTAAGTATGTTGTATCTGTGGTTATGTTGTTATGTATAGTGATATTAAAAGAATACAAGAAAAAAAAATTAAGACGTGTCGCCGCTTTATGATAAATAAACAAAAACAGAAATAGCATCTAAAAACAAACGAAGAGGAAAAAAACCATCTTCCCACTCGTCAGGTTGTTAGCCCTGAGTAATCATCGTAAAATGTGATAAATCTGAACAAAAAATTATTCGTGTACAATTCACAAAATTGAAAGGATCACGAAATTTTAATTAAAAATAGAAGTTAAAAAAATACCTACAAAAAAAAAAAAAATTGGAACAGTTTGAAGCAGAGTAGAGCGGCAAAACTGTTTTCGTTTTTGTTCATCTTCTTTTTCATTTTATTAATTTTTCTCGTTTGATTCTTGCGTCTAACGGTTTTTTTTTTTTTCATTTTTATTTTATTATGTTATAGTTTTACAGTTAGTTGAAATTTATAAAATTATCTTTTGTTATTAACGTTAAGAGTCATCTACAACACGGTTGGTTCGTTGTTGTTTTAACTGTTCCATATTTTTTTTTTTTTGTTTTTTACAAAAAATTCTAATTTATTTTTATTTTTTTTAAATTTTTTGTTAGTGTTTGTATTACAAAAAGAAAATAAAAATTGTATAACTAAATATTAAAAAAAAAAACAGTAAACTAAAATTAATAATAAAGCATTAAAAGTGACAAATGTCAATCAGTCTGACAGATTTAAATACAAAAATCATCACAACATCGGCTAAAGTCATTTCTCATTGTGAATGCTCTAATATTGTTTTATACAAAATGCAATAGCAATAAAAGCTGTAAAATAATAGTAATAATTTCAAATGACTTGAATTACAAAAAAAAAAGTTATTGGTTGGTTGTTACTTTTCATAAAAAAAGAAAAATTTCAATTGCCCTCATTGTAAATTTGGTTATAATAATAATAAATAAATCGTGACTTAAAAAAAATTCATTTAATTTTTGAAAATAATTTAAAATAATTCCAGGAATTCAATAAAGACTTGAAAAAAAGTAATAGTTACATTTCTAGTTAAAAAAAGAAAAAAGGAATCCGAATATTGTCAAGGTCCAAAGTTTATTGATTTAAAATTTATTAAAATTTATTGATTTCATCTAAATTCTTGGAATAAATTCATAATATAATCGGACAACTTTGATAAACGTAACCAACGTGTGGTCGTATGGTAAGTAAAATATTAAACTATTTCTACTATTATTAATATTGTGAATTGATAAGCGTGATAAAATTAAATAACAATTACCAAATTCAAAGCCGACATTTTTGAGTGTTGATCAATGAACAAAGTAAACGAAAATAATTTTCAATCAAATATGTTAATTTTAAAGAAAAACAATATGAAATGCAATAGAAGATTTGTGTAAGTTTTCTTTTTGATGTAAAAAACACGTAAGTGATCAAACCATTCAGTATTATTGCGATTTAGGAAGCCCAAATTTATTTTTAACTTAAAAGGTGGCGCCAAAAATATACCAACCGAAAGAGAAAGTTCAATAAAATTGTAATGTGGTTTCGATTCCTGCCACCTGCTTCTACTAAAAGGTCCCTAATTCATTTATAGCAGTTTAAATTTTTGAAATTTATGCAATTTGGAAGCATTTTTTAAAATCGTAACATTATAAACCTAATCAAAACTATGTATTTCTATATGTATGTACATATATGTATGTAAATATACATTTTTGAACGAATTGAAAGTGTGAGTATGAGTATGATGCGTGGTAGTATCAATTAGAATGACCTTGAATTGGTATCACGAAGGATTTAAGCAATGTCGAAGAAAATCTCCAAAGAAGTCTTTGGAGATTTTTTTTCCTCACCTTCCTTTCGATCTTCGGAAATAATTATAAGTTTTCCAACTTTATTTTAGGTTTAGTTAATCTTGCATTGTTATACATACATTACTTTGGCGACTATTGAGCCGCAGAATTATTTTGCATTAAACTGCATATAAATATAGTATCGAAAGAGAAAAAATCTTTCAAGTATTGTTATTCAAGTTGCATCAATTTACCATGTTATATTTTTATATCACTTATTATGTTTCTTTAACTGATTCATTTTTAAATTATGGCATCAAAACATGCAACCAATATGAAATTTAAAAAAAAATCATAAATTATTTTTTGAAAAACAAAGAAAATATCATTTAAATGCAAAATATATTCTGAGATTTTATATAAAATTGCCTAATTTGTTAAAGTACCATACTACCATTGAAAGTAATGTCCTAAGCAAATCAAACACAATAATTAAATACAAAGAGAACAAAATTGAAATGCAAAAATTGGTAAATGAAAATTTGTTTTTTTGTTCTGATAGCACACAACTTCCTTAAACCTCATTTTGAAATCGCACATGTTTTTAGTCTTCTCAAATACTTTGAATGAACAATATCCTATAGCCAATAATCGTTATATCGCATTGCAAAAAAAAAAAAATCTACTTTACTTTTAAAAATAAATGTTTAATTGAGAAAAGGGCACGTGTATTTGAAATATTGTTCCTTTATTTTCAAATACAATATTCTATAATACAAAATTAAATGTTACCGCGCATTAAAGTATACCCCAATCTTTTGAGAGTCTATCCAATATTATTCATTGTTTCTATATTATACCGACACAAGATTTGCAATTTCACATCATACAAAAACAATCACGTTTTTCATTTAAACAATAAAACGGTAATGATGACATCAAATAACAAATGATTTCTAATTTCATATATCGTACTTCGGCATATATGATTGTAGGTGCACAACATACTCGTATGCATATTTACAAGTTCTTTATATAAAGCAAAAATTTGTTAACTCTTAGTTTCCACGTGATGCTTGATCTCAGTTTTGTTTTAGTCGTTTTTTTTTTAATCTCATTGTATTTTTATGAAATATGTTTAAATAGTATGTACCGTATTAAGTTTCGCGTGATTAAGTTTTTTTTTCGATTATGAATCGTGAGTAAAGAAAAAATATCAAGTTAATCTTCAAAAACAAACCAAGAATTTCAAGAGTATCACAATTCAAGCAAAGTATGATAGTATTTTATAAGAAGCATAAAATGCCATACCAATATTTTGGTTCTTTAAAAATTTTACTATTTGTAAACCTTTGCATTGACTTTTCTGGATTAGAGTCTGAGCCCTGATATTAAAATAATTTTAGAATGACTTGAATTTCCTTCAATATCAAAAAACAATTTAAATCTTCACTATTATTACTATAGTTTGCAGGTTTAAAGAATTTTAACTGAGAGTCTGAATTTGTAGAAATGCTAAAAGTAATTTGTACATTTAAAAATTATGCGCATTCTTTTAAGAAAAAGCAGTCCTACTTGCACTAGGAAGAACGAAATTGTTAGTTAGTTAGTTTGCAGTTTAATTGATTGCTCATTTTAAATTTGCCGTAATTGTTGGCTGACGAATAGGAATTTCAAAACTAATATATTAAATAGTAACAGACCCTTATGGTGAAATGATATACAATAATCCAACACACTATACACTTTATATATGTGAGTTTTAAACATAGATTGTGAATTATTAGTTGAGTTGTGTCTCGAAAAGGTTGTCCGCGCAAATTTATTTATACTGTGTGGGCTTACAATTTTCAGTGGGGCAAAAATTTGTTTCTTTAAAGGTGTTTTATACAGTGGTGTGTTAACATATACAAACGTGTAAATCTTTAAGTGTACCACAGTAGGTAGGAAACTGTTTTTTAAGAGTTACGAGTTAAAAAAAAAAAAATTTTTTTCTGACTTTATCGAAACTAGCGTATAACTGTGGCTACTTTTAGAGATGCGTTGAAAATTTAATAGGCTATCCAAAAAGCATATACAACGAACTTCGCAGCACTTTTACTTTCACCAATACCACATTCGTTCAAAAACTGAATTTTTGGAAATTTTTCCGTTTCTCTTTAAGATAACGGTATTTTTCAGTATGATGTAATATTTCAGCTTTTCGAAATTTTCCTCAAAATAGGTTTCCAATTTTCCAAGCTTTCTATCAAGATACCAGCCATACTAGTGGAACTCTTAAACGGAATGTTAACCGGCGAAATTAAACATCTTAAATTTTACATTAAAATCTCTTTTAGGAAATGTAGTGAAATTTAGTTTTTAAAAATTTTATTCCTTAAATAAATTTCTTTATTCGAAAATGCAGAATATGCAAACCGCTTTTTTTGTAATTTGTCATATACGACGTATAAAATATAAATTTGTTGTAAAGAATTTATGATTAAATTAAAAACTCCAAAAGTTTCAAAGTAGAATACTAGATAAATTTTTTTTCTTAATATTACAATTCCCAAATACATTAAATTTCTAAGTGAGTATTGATAAGTGCGTGATTATCCTATTAGCGCAATATGAAAATATAAATGATGCAACATCATTTTCTTTCAACTAGCTTATACCGACATACTAACATATTGACTAGATTATGTATAAGTATAATATTTTGTCTAACTAATTAAACGCCTTCCAAACTGGAAAATTTACTTTTGAAATTTTGTTTTAATCATCTTGTATTTTAAACTAGTTTAACAAATCTGTACAATATTTGGGGTACTTTATGTTTTCAAGTAATATACGGTTTGCATTTTCTTTAAATGCTTAAAATAGTTAAAAATGTAAGCTGTTAATTACAGATTAATTTCTTTTTAAATACTTTTTTTTAATTTCTTGTTTTCGAGTATTTATAAAACAGGTTAATAAAAATGCATCCAAACTTGTTAAAATAAGGAAAATTTTTCATTTGCTCCAATTTGCTTCCTTACGTGTTTTAATAAAGTGGCATAAGGAATATGAATGAAATTGGGTTTTATTGAAAAAAAAGAAAAAATAAATTGAAATTAAATTCAATTTTTATTAAAATTATTCTTTTATTTTTTATTAATTACGTAAAAAAATATACATGTAGAGAATTAATGTAAAGATTTTAAAAATAAACTTTAAAAAATATTTTCTAAAATTAATTTCAACCACAATACCATAAACAAGTAAAACAAATGATAACATTGTGAAGAAGAGTATTGCCGATTGTTTTGAAAAAATGCAAAGATTTGCGGCTGGACCGAAATTTTTCTAAATTTAAACAACTGATTTCAAAGTGTAGAGGAGCAATCTGAATGAATTAAAAAAGGGGGACGCTTGTAAACATACATAAATATGTGTAACTTCTTCAAAATACAACCTGGTATAGTTCAGAAATGTTATATGTGCATTTAACGCATGGTATAATATGCAATTTGTTGGGAGTGTCATTTACCCTTAAATGGAACACACCTAATCCAACAATAAGTGCAGTTATATTGATGTGCGAAATTATAGTGCTTTATTAGAGCAAAGTAGTTTAATTAATTTTAAAATGTCAACGAATTATTCATGTACACTAAAATATTCAAAAACCATTAATTCTAAAAATTATTTAAAATTCGAAGTATTCTTCTTCAAGTAACTTTTGTTTACAAAATCATACAATTTTTACATTCATAATTATTATAATAGTGGAATACAAAAAAAAAAAATATGACATTTTGCTTTTTCATGAAAACCAAAATAATGGTAAACAAATAAATGCCAAAATCAAAGACTATACAAAATAATTATAATATTTTTTATGTACATATGTATGTATATAATGTAAGTATGTACGTACATTTATAATAAAATGATAATAGTAATAACACCAACTAAGTGTATAAGACAACAGAAACATCATTTAAAAAAAAAGCTGATAAACAACCGCAGAACGTAGACATAAAATGTTTGTCTTAATAAAGTGTCATTATTTTACAGTATTGTTTTTGTTGTTGTTGTTGTTGAATTACTTACGTTGACCTTCATAATAACCTGAGTGAGTTCATGTTTTATGTCATCAGATGGAAGGTTGTAATATCTTGACAGTGAAGCTGACATAGAATTTTTTTTTTTATTTTGGTTTTGTTTTGTTATATGGAAACAAAAAAAAAATCTGCATTGTTTTTTCATATAGTTCTTTGAAATTGACTCTTCACAATTGAATATTGTGTACCCACTGCGATGATTTGCAATAATGTGATCTTACTGAAATCATATTGGGATAAATCATACTGTATATATGCAAATAGTTAAACAATTGCAAATAATTTTAATAATAATGCACGGTATTTTGAAGGTG